ATTTAAAGTTGAAGTAGGTATGTAAAGTTAAACTAGGTATGTAAGTTGACAGCTAGGTATGTATAGTTGAACTAGTTTAGTAAGGTTGAACTAGTTTTGTAAAGTTGAACTAGGTATGTAAAGTTCAACTTGCAGTTAGTAAAGTTGAACTAATTAAGTATGGAAAGTGGAACTAGGTTTGTAAGTTTTTACTAGGTTTGTAAAGTTAAACTAGGTATGTAAAGTTGAACTAGGTATGTAAAGTTGAACTAGGTATGTAAAGTTGAACTAGGTATGTAAAGTTGAACTAGGTATGTAAAGTTGAACTAGGTATGTCAAGTTGAACTAGGTATGTAAAGTTGAACTAGGTATGTAAAGTTGAACTAGGTATGTAAAGTTGAACTAGGTATGTAAAGTTGAACTATGTACATTTAAACCCTATATAAGCCATGCATCAAAAGAGTTCATCAAATGTCGTATTCTTCACTTTCTGAAAATGGAATATTGCAGATATTTAGTTTTTAATTAAATGATTATATGGAGCTCTTTGAAACTGTTTCCGCATATTCATGGCTATTAATTTATTTTCGTACATATTGATTTACGTTAAATAGTAAAAAAACCATTGAAAAATTGTCAAGACAACATTTGATAAATTTTTTTTGATGTAAGGCTCATTTAGGGTTTAACTAAATGTAAAGTTGAACTATGTTAGTAAAGTTGGTCTAGGTTTGTAAAGTTCGACTAGGTTTGTAAAGTTGAACTAGGTTTGTAAAGTTGAACTAGGTTTGTAAAGTTGAACTATATTTGTAAAATTGAACTAGGTATGTAAAATTGAACTAGGTTTGTAAAGTTGAACTAGGTTTGTAAGGTTGAACTAGGTTTGTAAATTTGAACTATGTTAGTAAAGTTGAAGTTTAAGTATGGTCGATCGTACTATAGTTTCAATTGAAGTAAATATTTCCATTTACTGTTTAGTCCCGATATAAGGATTCATCTCTAATTGGATAATGAGATAGATAGAAAGATAGATTATACTGCCATATAATTTTTATTGGTTCAGAATAGACACCAAACATATGACTGAACCCCGATTAGATCAGGGCCGGTTCAGCCATGTGTTTGGATCAAATAGATTATCAAGTACAATAGGTGGCAACCAAGAAATGGACCAATTATACACGACGTAACAAGTGTAAAATACAACAAGGAAAACGAAATTTTCTCACGTTAGTTGGCATGTTTTCAAAGATTAATTAAAAAGCTTTAAAAAAAACCAGAAAATAAAGCACAAAAAGTTGTGCTTATTTCAATTTAAAATAAGCACTTTATTCTAAAATTAACACTATTATTCATAATTTTGTCAGATACAAAAACTAAGTTGACACTTGTACCGTAAGAATACAGCTGTACTAAGAGTGTCCAAATTCAGCTACGTAGGCATCTATTGTACTAGAATCTATTTGTTTTGGATCAGCCCTAACTAGGATAAATAATTTCGCTTTTCATTAAATCCAACTTTTGGTCTACGTTTTGAAAGACACATTCCTTTTTCTAAATAGTTTTTGTTGACTAACTTTATATATTTTTTTAGCCGAGTGGCTCTGTACTGCAGCAGTTCTCTAATGTTTATATCTGGTGTACTGTTTACAGTGTGTACACTGTGGAATAGAGGACGACAGATCCGTCATGGGTATACTCATCTCTAGAAACAACCAATGTAAACAACAAATGTTAAACCTTTAAACTGTGGAATAGGAATACGACAATTAGACTTAAGTTTTGACTTTAAATAGTTAAATGAACACAATTCATTATATCAACATCAAATTCATATATTTCACCTCAATGTCGTCTTCCTATTTCTTAGTTTTATGAGTCTCACTTTATATATTCAGAGAGCAGAACTTGTGTGTGAACGCTTTATCTCGACATCAAATGTGGTCACTTTTAAATTAAAGGACCAAGGATAGATTTCTTCATTTTAGTTACTTATCGGCCCTGCAAACATTTAGTCTCCGACAAACCGATGGCGAACATATAAAGTCCAGAATTATTTACCCGACAACTTCGCCATCGGCACATAAAGTCGGTTAACATGTTTCCTGGGATCCCTGTATGGTATGACCACCACGGGATATCAAGGAGAAAATAAGTCTACATTAGATGAATATCATTGCTTGATTTAAAGATTTACAAAAGTTCTGACTTGAAATTACACTAAATTAACACGACATGTTATTTATTTATTAGCTGAAGGGAAATTTAATCACTTTTAAATACCCAAATGTTATATTATTCAAAATTACATATTAAAGTTATTCAAGTTCAAATCACAAATACAACCTTTTAAACCTCCTTCTGAGTAACCATGGAGAAGATATCGTCGTTTTTCTCAAAAGTTTAAAATTTTCACAATTTTTTGTAAAGTCTCTGCTGCATATTTTCGCAGGCCTTTTTAATAATTTTTCAGTTTGAAAAAATGTTTCTATTTATGATTGATCAGACAAAACTTTAAAGGGTACTATTGTGAATGTGATCTGCTACTGTATAAGCAAGGGTTCGCTTGAAAACGTTTTTAGTTCCTTGAAGCAAAACAAAAAACACTGTTCATGTTTATTGTCCTATAATATTGTAAAACGATTTTATATTTATTAGAATAATTTATATTTCCTTTTGTATAATTATATTTAACTTCAGGGTGGTATAAACTGAAATAAAAAATACTGATATGTGAATACATAATACATACTGCACTTTTCTAAGATGAAGATAAATGAAATGCATTAGCTCTGAGTGGAATTTAAAAAATGGAATTTATTAGGTCCAGCCGTATAATACTATTTATTTTATTTATCAAACAATCGAACAATATAATATCTACCAATCGTGCAAATAGGAAGATAGATAGTAAATAATGTATTTAAAGAAATCCTCCATGAGTATAGTATACTCTAGACCTGTTCCTACCTCCTGTTAGTCTGGCCTGTACCGATGGTTGCAATTCATGAGTTCTCCCTCCCATGGTTCTACCCGCCTCTCATACATTCTCTGGTACCGTGCGCTTTTTTTCTTCACAACCATTGCAAGAGAAGGGTCGGGCTCGATTAGGATGGTTAAAGATATTGGGATAGGTTGGTTAGATGGTTGGATGTGCACCTGTTAAAACCACCTGTTGAAGAGAAGAGAGGATATTCTGCCAGCGCCTGCTAGGAGAACAGAACAAAGCCAGGGCTCTGCCGCCATCTTGAATTAGTGATTTCAACGGTAGGAACCGGGGGTTCTTATGCGCATCTACTGTTGAGTGCGCGGGCCGTGACATACATTTCCGTTCAAATCACAAACAAACTCACAGCACGCAACATATTATATAAAACAGTATATATATTAGTATATAAAACAAATAACAAATATTATGAAATATTAACTATTTATGTAAACATGAATGCGTCGAAAATAATCGATGACTTAATAGGTTGTAATATATGAATGATTAGTTTGAAATTAAACGGATTATTTTACGAGCCGAGTCGTTTATTGCAACTTTTTGAATTTTTGTACGTTCCGTTTAAGTCGTTTTTAAAAATTTTCTCCTTGTAGATTCAACAATAGAAGTAAGATTTTCACTCCCCCCCCCTTTTCAAATAAGTTGTATGGTATAATTTTTTCTTAAAAAATGTTTTCATTCTGTGTAGTGTACATAGGAACCGAAACAATTCTTTAATAAAGCTGTTCTATCAATCAAACCAAATAATACCTTATTTGAAAATATTTGTCCTGAGGTAAGATTTTCTGATCGAACTGATTTGTTGTTCTTTCGAATATGTCTATAAACAGACATATATGATACAATGTAACACATAAATAGATTATATGTTCCAGTTTGTATCAAAAATCCAATACCTTGAATTTTGCAGAAACTTAAATTGCCTCAGTTTCAACATTTTGTCTAGACAATTCAAATCAGTAAACGTGAGTAGTAAAATCAAAATTATCAACATTTAGTGTCATTACACATTCAGTGAAAATCGAATTTTCACTGTAAAATTTAGTTCAAGTTCAAATTACTTAAGAAAATTGTTATCATTCTGTGTAGTGTATATAGGGTCCGAAACAATTGTTTAATAAAGCTGTTCCCTGAGACAACCAAATAGAACCTTTTTTGAAAATATTTGTAAGATTTTTTAATCGAACTGGTTTGTTGTTCTTTCGAATATGTCTATAAACAGACATATATGATACAATGTATCTAACAAATGAATAAATAATATGTTCCAGTATTTATTAAAAATTCAATTCCTTGAATTTTTCAGAAACTTAAAGTGCCTCAGTTCCAACATTTTGTTCAGACAATTCAAATCAGTAATCGTGAGTAGTAAAATAAAAATACACAACATTTAGTGTCATACAACAACATTGTAAAATTTGAGATAAAAACTATGAAAAATTTCTGTGTAGCATTGATTAAAGACATCAGTATCAGGGAAAATCGAATTTTTACTAAAAAATTTAGTTCAAGTTTAAATTACTTAAGTTGTTGAAAAATAAAAAAATATTCTACATCACATAAAATTCAAGCTAAAATTACTAAACTACAAAACTTTTCTACGCAAGGGGGGCACTGCCCTCCTTGAAACCCCCCGCCTCGCTCACTAGTCACTACGTTTCACTCGGTGATCCTGGGCCCATTTTAAACACCTCAGAATATTTTGTTCCTATTTCTAGATTTTATTGTACCTAAAAATCTGCCCCCCCCCTGGCTAAAATCCTCTGTCCGCCCCTGAATTGGAATCCAAATGAAATTTTTAAATAAGTATAGCAATTAGAAACTTATACCCCTAGGACTTAAAACAGCGTAATTTAATGCACATTTTCGGCTTTAAACTTAGAATTTCTCTTTGTAAAGATGTCTTTTTTTGGATTCATCCAGGAGGGGGAATCACCGGTCTTTGTATCAGATTTAAATATAATTTTCCCAAACCTTTTAAAAAAAAATACTAATTAAAATTTGTGTGTTACTATATCAAATAATTTATTCAAAATATTACAACGAAAGTATTTTGAAAATGTTACTTATTAATATGACAATTGATGTTATAAACAAATTAAATATTGGGATTTAACTGAAAGGAGAGAAGAATGGCGGGGATTATAATATATGGGTTTATAAACTATTAAAAGAAAAGGAGTGTATGGATTAGAATATCTGAGATAAATGAAAGGAAGGTATGGGGGTTTAGAATATCTGGGATTGAAAGGAAAAGAAGGTATGGGGGATTAGAATATCTGGGATTGAAAGGAAAGGAGTTCATGGGTTAGAGTATCTGGGATTGAAAGGAAAGAAGTGTATGGGGGATTAGAATATCTGGGATTGAAAGGAAAGGGGTGTATGGGGGATTAGAATATTTGGGATTGAAAGGAAATGAGTGTATGAGGGTTTAGAATATCTGGGATTGAAAGGAAAGGAGTGTATGGGGGATTATAATATTTGGGATTGAAAGGAAAAGAGTGTAAGGGGGATTAGAATATCTGGGATTGAAAGGAAAGGTGTGTTTGGGGGATTAGAGTATCTGGAATTGAAAGGAATGGAGTGTATGGTGGATTAGAATATCTGGGATTGAAAGGAAAGGAGTGTATGGGGGAGCTGGTGAGCCTGGAACATCTGATTTAACTCGCCGCATATTCTGAAGAAAAAACTGATCAAATTTTTTAATATTTTTTGCATTATTTTAAATTTTACTAATTCTAAAATGCTAATTGCGGTATTTCAGGTGACCCTATATTTGTAGAATGCGATGCCAGGTTCTAAGCAGTACTATTTAAACCTGTGACTGATCAAGGATGCCAGGTTCTAAGCAGTACTATTTAAACCTGTCTAAGCAGTACTATTTAAACCTGTGACTGATCAAGGATGCCAGGTTCTAAGCAGTACTATTTAAACCTGTATTTTCTAGACACGTTGTTTGTAAGATTTTGTAATATAAAAAATATTAATAATTACACCATTTGACACAATTTTAGAGATGAACTAACGGAGTTCTTTACCCTCGATCAGACAAAGGTTTAAAGTGTACCGTTGTAAATCGGGCATTCCTCTCTTTCAATGGAGGGTCACTTGGAATTGCACTTGTGCAGTCCATGCTGCTTAGATCATTTATAATCAATTATCAGAAAGAAAAAGCAAAATATTTTCATTATTTTCAGACCAATTTGAATGAGAAATGAACTCTTACAATGGTGGGTCACTTGAAATACCGACAATAGTGCCTTTAAAGTCTCAATCTAAAGGTTTAAAAAAGAAACAGTTTTTCGTTGAAAAAGGTGTCATTTAGTAAAAAACACTAACATAATGGATCGTCCAGAGAAATGAAAAAATTATCATTTTTTAAAGCAAACAAACAAACCGAACAATTTAAAATTGTTCGAACGAACTTGAGAAAACTATCGTTTTACCGACTGCATGGGGTTTTCAAACTAATTTAGGAAAAAAATGAATGAAAATGAAAACGAACGAAATAAATGGAAAATGAACAATAATTTTAAGAACAAACAAAATTAACAATTTTTTTGAATGATAGAAAAAAAATAGGTTGTTCATGAACGATGAATGAACGAAATAAACAAAAAATGTCGAACATGTCCATCTTGACAGATTTTACCCACCTCGTGTCCAGATCTTGCCAAGTCTCTGTACCAACAATATTCTTTAGTGATGTTGCAGTTCTAAGAACAAGGAATAGAGCTGCAGCACACAGATCACTAGTGTAATCTATCCTGTAAACAATATTCTTGTGTAATCTATCCTGTAAACACTATTCTAGAGTAATCTATCCTGTAAACAATATTCTTGAGTAATCTATCCTGTAAACAATATTCTTGAGTAATCTATACTCTAAACAATATTCTTGAGTAATCTATCCTATAAACAATATTCTTGAGTAATTTATACTGTAAACAATATCCTTGAGTAATCTATCCTGTTTAACAATATTCTTGAGTAATCCATCCTGTAAACACTATCCTTGAGTAATCTATCCTGTAAACAATATTCTGGAGTAATCTATCCTGTAAAAAATATTCTTAAGTACTCTATCCTGTGTAACAATATTTTTGAGTAATTTATCCCGTAAACAATATTCTTGAGTAATCTATTCTGTACAATATTTTTGAGTAATCTATCCTGTGAAAAATATTCTTGAGTAATCTATTCTTTACAATATTTTTGAGTAATTAGTCCTATAAACAAAGACACTCGAGCCTCAAACTTTTCCAATTTTTCAACTTCAAATAGTTGTGAAAAAAATTGCCAAAAATTATTTTAATTCGAGGTCTATTTCCCCCATAATTTTAATTATAACTCTAAGGGAAAAATCATAGGATACACCCCCCCNCAAGTAAGTAAGATGAACTTGATGGCAAGTAAGATGGCTAAGTTTAAACTACCTAAGGAACTCTAGCTGACTAAGTGGATTAAGACGAACTAGATGACTAAGTAAGCGTGTAGAAACCCAGCAAGATAAACCAGTTTGAAGGTTTCTCAACCTTCCAGCATGTCCTGTCAACAACAGAAACTAAATAAAAAAATATATAAATTATTTGGCTAATGAAAAGTGAAATATCAAATGAAAAAGTTTAAAATATCAAGAGTTCAACCATCAGGTTGCAAAGATAAAGGGATTTAAAAAGAATGCAAATATAGGTATGCGATACCGTTAAAACCTTTATATGATCAATAATGTGGAAGATGTGTAATTATCTATAATTTCTTTATGTTTTCCTGTGCAAGTAATTTTTGCAAAGAAATTACAATTGAAAAATCGGTTTTCAAAATCAAACATTGAATTCATTAGATGCATACTTGATCAGACGTACACAGCTTTTAAGGCTAACTGATGAGTGATGACACGTAACACTTGTTGTTGTTAAACTTTTGGTTCGTTATGAAATATTTGAATGAAACCTCAAACATTTCAGACTGCATTCTGTTAACGTTTGCTATTTAAACATTAAAACTTTTTTAACCTAAGAGAAAAAAAGAAAAAAACGTACCAAAAAAAGATCCTTTTAACACGTTCGGTTTCGTTTTTTGTTTGGTTAGTTTTTTTCAATTATATTTCATTTAATAAGGCATAGCATAGTGTATAAAAAGCAAATGTTTAGAATCTTGAAATGTTCTCCGAATTTGTGAAACTTTTATGAATCCAAAAACTCTCAAAAACGATCAACAACAAACAAACTTATTGCTCACGACTACTAACGTTCCTACATTTTTGAAAAGTTATTCTTTCGTTTTGAAAACGACGAAGAAAAAACAAAAAACAAAACGATTGTTTTTCGTTTCTTAAAGAACAAAACGATCGTTTTTAGAAACAAATTAAAAATAAACGAAAAACGATAGTTTTTTCAATCGTTTTCTAAAACAAATACCTGGCTGGGGCTGATATTTGAACTAATATTCAGAGATTTCAACGAGGTGTACAGTCGTAATTGTTTCTTCTCAGCTGTTCTTTCTTCAACTCTAAATAAATAAAAATATTTCTGGGACGTCAAGTGTCACCGTAGTTTTAATTTTGGAGTTACATGTCCGTTTACAAGAGTATCTTTTACACCAGCAATAATGATCGTAAAACGGTTAGTTTTAGTCCTTTATCTGAGGTGACCGCAGATCTGAGAGTTACAATATTAGGAGTAATCACAATAATAAAATATCAATTTTCAATAAGAAAATCAAGAATTTCATGAAAGTATTAAGGGTACCGTTGTGAATTGGGCATGATCCAATTTTAAATGGAGGATAATTAAAATTTTGTACGTATGCATTGTCTTTAATGGGTTTGCAAAAAGGAAAAGTATAAAGGAAAAGTATAAAGAAAATTAATAAGGAAAAGTACAAAAGAAAAGAATTAAGGAAACGTATAAAGGAAAAGTGTGAAATGAATTTTTTTCAATTAGTAAAGATATATTTTTTTTCTACATTGATAGTGAACACTGCAAAAAAATCAGACAAACTTTTTTCTGGGACCGAATTTTATGAATTTGAACTGAATACTACGCCGGTTCAAATTTTGATCAACTTTTCAAATCCCGATTAAATATTAACTTTGAGTTGGTGGTTCAAATTTGAACTGGCAGTTGGTATAGTTCAGAGACGTAGCTCAAACTCATCAAATTCGGTCTGGATTGAGATCATAAAAAATATAAATTTGTTGATTGAAATTAATTACATGAAAAATAACTTGTCCATTTTTACAAAAAAAATTATACCTATCCATGAGATTGTGAACAGCATCAATGCAAAATATCAGACAAACCTTTTTCTGGGTCCGAATTTTATGAATTTGAACTGCCTACCACGCCGGTTCAAATTTAAATCAACTTTTCAAATCCCGATTAAATATTAACTTTAAGTTGGTGGTTCAAATTTGAACTGGTAGTTGGTATAGTTCAGAGACGTAGCTCAAACTCATCAAATTCGGTCTGGATTTGATCATAAAAAATATAAATTTGTTGATTGAAACTAAACGGCCTTACATAGAAAGAAAAAAAAAATTGTCCATTTTTACAAAAAAATTTATACCTATCCATGAGGCCTCTTGATAAGCAACAGTTCATAATTGTCAAATCCTCTAAAAATACATTTCTATAGAAATATATCACAAAAAAATTAATATTTTCTAGTAATCACCTCCCCCACGCTAATTTTTAGATCGTTGATTTATGATAGTTTGAGTTTCTCAAAACACCGCTCATACTGCGATCGATAATTTCATTCTAATGATGTTATCGTTCACGGGAAGTCCTGTTTGTTAATTGAAAAAGCGACCGTTCCCCTTAAAGGTTTCAAACCCTAACTGTAGACGTTCTTTAATGGAAAGTGAATAAACTTTAATAAACTTTAAAGGCGCCTAGCCATCCATTTTATTTAGTCTAAAATCATAAAATGTATCAAATATTCATAACATTTTCTTTAAAAATTAATTATTCCTAGTTGTGGTTTTCTATAGAGAATTAAAAAAATATTCAAGCTAGAAAATGATAAATTTATTTGATACAATTTCAAAGGGAACTGTTGTGAATCGAGCACGAATTCATGAAAATGGAGGAACTATCTGATCTACAAAATTTATATTAACCATAAATTTCTTTCATGAAATACTGCAGCAGTAATTTCTTCTTTGTGATTTTCTTATCTTAATGGCGGAAGTTGGATTTCTTTTATTAATTCCATTTCTTATCCGACCCTCAGACAGATTATTTCAGGGGGCGGAAACGTCATGTAGTATCTATACCAAAAGAGTGTTTGTAAGTAATACCGAACCGAAGGTGTGTACTGTATAGGTGTATATACAGTACATAAGAATCTCGGTACATGTACAGTCTAGGAGAGTAAATTTGTTTATTGTTAATTGTTTAATTAAAATAAGTTTAATATACGTTTAATATATTATTTACATTTTTA